TTCACGTCACTGCACTCCAGCCTGGGTGACAGTGTGAGACACTGTCTAAAAAAAAAAAAAAAAAGGGCGGGGCCAGGTGCAGTGGCTTACTCCTGTAATCCCAGCACTTTGGGAGGCCAAGGCGGGTCGATCACTTGAGGTCAGAAGTTCAAGAACAGCGTGGCCAACAAAGTGAAACCTCTTATCTACTAAAAATACAAAATTAGCCATGCGTGGTGGCGCACACCTGTAATCTCAGCTACTCAGGAGCCTGAGGCAGGAGAATCTCTGGGAGGTGGAGGTTGCAGTGAGCTGAGATTGCACCACTGCACTCCAGCCTGGGCAACAAGAGCGAAACTCAGCCTCAAAAAAAAAGAAGAAAGACCCAAAACCTAAAATGCAATTAAAAGAAGAAAGTAAAAAAAATTCAAACTTCTTTTTTGTCCTTTTTGGGGAGATTTAGCTAACAGTTTCTCATGTATCCTTCCAGGAGATTTTTGGGCATAGACAAGCATACTACACACCGCATACTCTCTCTTCTTTCCCTCTCTTTTTGCACTTTGCATCTGGCACTTGACTCTGTGTGTAGTCTACATATGGCGTCCACATCTGCCCCTTTTCCAGCTGCAGGTCTTCCCAGTGTAGGCAGCCCTGGATACCTGACCAACACCCTCCCAATGGGCAGCAGTTTCTCCCCAGAGCTTCCCCATGAGCAACAATGTTGCTAAAAGCATCCCAGCATGTACACTGAGCACAATGTCAGCAACACTGTTGCAGTGACCATCCTCTAAGGCATGCTGAGCCAGAGTAAGAGCCCACCTGTGGGGAAAGTCATAGGGAGGGTGTCCAGGCAGAGGCAGAGTGGGGGCAACAGCAAGGACTGATAAGTTCCCTGGGAACCCCTCTTGGGTGGTGGGGATGCAGTCTGTGTGGTGAGCCAGCTTCGTTTGAGTTCAGGCTTCTGCAGGTCCCAGGTGACTCCCCACACACCTGTGTTCTGAAACCCCAGCTCCTTTCTAACACCTGCTCCCAATATCAGCTGGCTGGAGGGAGCATCCCTTTGGGGACCTAGAACTAGGCAAGGAAGTCACTTTTGGACCAGGGAGGGCATTGTGACGCCCTTACCTTCCAAGGAGGAATGCCCACCTAGGGACAGCACCTGAGACAGAGCCAGGCAGAGCCGAGTTGGGGGAGGATCAGGTTTGGTGGGGAGCTCTGTTCAGGCCTGCCTGCCTGAGCCGCTGGGGGTCTGCACACACAGGTCTCAGACCACCTGGTGAGCTTGTCCAGAGTTCACAATCCTGGGTCCCTCCCTCCTCAAACCCACCAATCAGGATGTCAAGGGTACCAGGGACACAGAATATGCCTTTTACAAACTCCCGTAGAGATTCTAAGGTGCAACAACCTCAGAACCACCGTCTCTCCCAGGATCTTTCTCCTTCATAGTTCCCAGACCCATTCAAAAAGTTCACAGTTTGGCCGGGTGTGATAACTGACACCTGCAGTCCCAAAAGTTCAGGAGCCTGCAGGAGTTCAAGACCAGCCTGAGCAACAGAGTGACAGCCCATCTCTACAGACAGTTTTCAAAATTAGCCAGGCATGGTGGTATACACCCGTGGTCCCAACTACTTGAGAGGGAGGCTGAGAAGAGAGAATGGCTTCAGACTGGGAGGTCAAGGCTGCAGTGAGCTTTGATTGCACAACTGCACTCCAGCCATGGTAACACAGCAACACCCTGTCTCAAAGAAAAAAAGACAGTTAACATTTTTAATATGCGTCCACTGCCCCAGGACCTGAAAGCTCCCAAAGAGAAAGGCCCTTTTGTGTTTCTTCTTCTTTTCCCTTTTCTCATCTGTGTACAACACAGGCAGAGCAAGGCACACTGGGGCTGGGAGAGTGATGAGAAACATCTGCCAAATGAGTGAATGACTGACTGCACCGAGTAGTACATCCTCCCCCAGAAACATGCACATACGGACACACACATTTTGAAAGCAACTTTAGGGCTGGGTGCAGTGGCTCACACCTGAAGTCCTAGCACTTTGGGAGGACAAGATGGGAAGATTGCTTGAGCCCAGGAGTTCAAAACCAGCTTGGGCAACACAATGAGACCCCATCTCTACAAAAAACATATACGCCGGGCACGGTGGCCCACGCCTGTAACCCCAGCACTTTGAGAGGTCAAGGCGGGTAAATCACCTGAGAACGGGAGTTCAAGACCAGCCTGACCAACATGGAGAAACCCTGTCTCTAGCCAGGCATGGTGGCACATACCTGTAATACTAGCTACTAGGGAGGCTGAGGCAGGAGAATGACTTGAACCCAGGAGGCAGAGGTTTCAGTGAGCCAAGATCACACCATTGCACTCAAGCCTGGGTAACAAGAGTGAAACTCTGTCTCAGAAAAAAAGAAAGACCTGAAACAAAAAACATGTAAACATAAAAGTTTTAAAAATTAGCCAGGTGTGGTGGTGGACACCTGTGAATCCAGCTACTCAGGAAGCTGAGGTGGAAGGATTGCTTGAGCCCTGAAAGTCAAGGCTGCAGTGAGCTATGATTGTGCCACTATACTCCAGCCTGGGCAACTGAGTCTCAAATAAGAAAGCAAGCAAGAAAAGAGAGAGAGAGGGAGGAAGGAAGGAAAAGGGACAACTTTAGGAGGAATCATGCCCCTAAAAATTTATGCCTAGTGTTCCTTTATTGGAACACTATGCCTGTGGGAGTTATTTAGCTCCTGCCGCTCAAGGTCATTGGCAAAGTCTGATTGTTCAATTCAAAAAATTGCAACCTCAGGCATAAAAGGGTTAAATCCACCCATAGAAGCCCCATTAAGAATAAGGTTGGCTGGGTGTGGTGGCTCACACCTGTAATCCCCACACTTTGGCAGGCTGAGACGGGCGGATCACCTGATGTCAGGAGTTCAAGACCAGCCTGACCAACATGGAGGAATCCCATCTCTACTAAAAATACAAAATTAGCTGGGGTGGTGGTGCATGCCTGAATCCCACCTACTCGGGAGGCTTAGTCAGGAGAATTGCTTGAACCCAGGAGGTGGAGGTTGCAGTGAGCCAAGATCGTGCCATTACACTCTAGCCTGGGCAACAAGAGCGAAACTCCATCTCAAAAAAAAAAAAAAAGAATAAGGTTGGGTGGGCATGGTGGCTCATGCCTGTAATCCCAGCATCTTGGGAGGCGGTAGGCGGGCAAATCACTTGAGCCCAGGATTTCAAGACCAGTCTGGGCAATATGGTGAATTGAAACCCCGTCTCTACAAAAAATTGTAAACATTCCCTAGGTGTGGTGGTGGGTCCCTGAAGTCCCAGCTCCTCAGGAGGCTGCGGCAGGAGGATCACATGAACCCAGGAGGTTGAGGCTGCAGTGAGTCCGCGTAGGCAACACAGTGAGATCCTGTCTCAACAATAATAATAATAATGTTTTCCTAGAGTTTCCTGTAATACTTAGAAACCACAGTCCTTCCATGGCAGGGACAAGAGAGACCTGGAGAACACTTGATTTCTTAGACACTCTGGGGCTGTGGGCAGGAAAAGCCCTTGGAAATGAATTCCCCATCAACCTCCTTATTTTTATTTATTTATTTATTTATTTTGGGACAGTGTCTCACTCTGTTGCCCGGGCCAGAGTGCAGTGGCACGATCTCAGTTCACCGCACCCTTCACCACCCAGGTTCAAGTGATTCTCTTGCCTTGGCCTCCTGAGTAGCTGGGATTATAGGCGCAGGACACCCCAGCTAATTTTTGTATTTTTAGTAGAGACAGGGTTTTGATATGGCTGGTTTCGAACTCCTGACCTCAAATGATCCACCTGTGTTGGCCTCCCAAAGTTCTGGGATTACAGGCGTGAGCCACAGTGCCCAGCCCAGCCGAGCCACCTTATTTTTAAATACAGAACAAATGGGGAAGAGACTGGTCTGAAGACTCAGACAGCTGAACTTGAACCCAGGACTCCAGACGCCCAGTTGGAGGCCCCTCCCCACAGACCTTATCACTCCCTATCTGAGCCCTAATAGCCTTTTGGCCATAACATAGTCTCTCGATCGCTCCCTTCTGGGGTCTCCCCAGGGCTCCTGCTTCCTACTGGGCCCAGACCCTTACCACCCTCCACATTGGCGCTGAACCCTCCCCGCTGTGAGGCCCCATCCGGGCTTCAGGTCAGATTCGATTTCCGTCTAAGGGCAGCCTTCTCCACTGGCACACAATCTGAGCCAGGACATGCTGGCAGATTTGTGCAACCTCATTGTTCTGAGCCAGAATCGAGCAGCTTTTATGACCAGCTATGAAGCGCTTCTCTCGTGCCAGGGCCTGGAGTTATTGAAGTTTCAAAGGCGTTTTTGTCCACCCAAGATGGCAGGCTGAGAGCAGATTCGGGCCAGGGCACTGCGCTCAGCGCCTTGCGTGCATTACCTGCAGGGACATCCCCGCTAGCCTTTCGGATGGAGTGGCGGTTATCATCGTTTGACAAAGAAGTAAACGGTAGCTGGAAGCAGCAAAACACTTTGTCCAGGAGTGCCAGCCGACGTGGGGGTGGTAGGATTTGAACTCAGGCCGACGCCCTCCGCAGCCCAGCCCCCTTCCCTCAATTGCCACCATCTGAGTGCAATTCATTAGCTACTAGGGCACAGGAGACCTGTGCGGATCTCTGCTGCACCTGTCTTGCGGGGCCCAGCTGGGTGTCCGCCAAAGCACCAGAAGCGCTGAGTTCCCGGCAGCGCAGAACCAGGTGAAGGCCTCCGCCAGAGGCGCGCCGCGCCGGGGAGGGTGAGGCTGACAGTGCTCGCCCCGGCGGCCTTTGCGCCCCCGCGCCTTCCCGGCCCCAGGGGTGGGCGGTGTCCAGCCAAGACCCGGTGTCCCCACCCCCGCGCCCAAGCCCCGCCCGCACGGTTGCCCCTCCTCGGGAAGGTAAGCACCACCTTCTCGGGGAGCGGCCAGTAGAGCCAGTGGCCGGCCGGCGCCCCGCCCCCCGCGAGTAGGGACCGGGTTCCGCGGCCGCGCTGCACTTGGGGCTCCCCGCGCCGCGGCTCGCTCACCTGCGCTCCCGCCCGCCCCTCGGTGCGCGCCAGGCCCACCAGCCGCCGCCGCCTGCACCCCGAGCGCCACCATGAACTCGCTCTTCAGGAAGAGAAACAAAGGCAAATACAGCCCCACCGTGCAGACCCGCAGGTGAGGAGGCGCCCGCAGCTCGGCTCGGGGACGCTCTCGGGCCTGTGGGCGCACAGGACCGGGAAGACCGCCGGGCGGTATAGGAATAAGGGGCTGCACTGGGGCCCAGAAACCGGTAGCTGAGTCCTGAGTGCGGGACACGCGGGACCGAGGTCACCTCGAAGCTGGGAAGCAGCGCCGGGTGGGAGGGGACTGCCTGGGGTGCCCGAGGGGGCGCATAATTGGGGACATCGGGGACTCAAGGAGCCGAGGGGGCATTGCTTTGGGGGCCTAGGGCATGGGCAGCTGAGCTGGGGTACAAGGCACTCCCGGGTCCCAGGGTCGCTTTTGCGCCGAGGGTCGCCGAGGACCGGGAATAGCCACCGGGATGCGGGGTCGGAGTTTTCGGAGGACCCGACACTCAAGGCGGGGTCGCTGGGGGTCCCAGGAAGCTCTTGGGTGCGACTTTCACACTTCAGGCAGTTCCGTCCAGGGGGCGCCCTGAGGCAGGGAAATTGAGCTGGCGTCGGAGGGGTGCTCTCCGGTGACTCTGAGACCGCGCAGGTGTGTCTTGGCGTCGGGGAGGTGAGGGGTGGGGGTCCGGAGGGGCGGGCCACCTGCTGCTGCACTTCCCGGCACCTGCCACCCTGCCCTCCAGAGCCGCGCCCAGAGGCCCTGGGGGGTGCGGGGTCCGGTCCGGGGACGCAGGCGGAGGCACCACTTTACCTCCCCACCCTCTGGGTTCTGAGCAGAGGCTGGGCGGCGTCAGGGCCTCGTCTTCGAAGCTCGATTTCTCAGAGGTGTGGCTCCCTGCCCCCATCCCAGCCCCGAAACTGGCGGCGTCTCTGAGCCGCGGGTTCCCAGGGCAGCCTGGGAGGGGAATGACATGTCTTGATGTGTTTGCAGTGAGAAGCAGCCCACGTCCGTTTTGATAAGCCTAATGTACTCACTTAATAACCGGTTTAGGGGAGCCTGGTGGAGATGCTGAGATTGAGGGAGGAGGTGGGAATCCAGCCCCTGCCTTATCCCCCTACTTTGGAAAATAGAGTGGAGGCTCTCAGCTAGCAAGGATCATTTTGCCAGCTTCCGGGACAAGAGGTTTCAGGCAGGTGAGGGGGCCCCAAATGGCATGGGAGTTCTGCCCCCAAGCTACCCTCACTGGGAACCCCCACTGTACCCTCCAGCAGCTCCTCACTCTCTCCCTAGCCCCCAGATGAAGGCAAGGAGATGCCTCTGGGCCCAGGGCTCCCACCCCACCCCTGCAGTCCAGCCTAGGCCGACCAGTCGGACAGGTACAGACGATGGCGGGGGCCCTGGCAAGCTGGAGTGCGACACTTCCCTGGCCTCCCAGGCCCTTCAGAACCACCCCCCACTCCTCCCCCCACCAGCCCTGTGATCCCACCCAGCCGCATCTCCGTTTGGGCTGTTTCAAGCTCAGAGGCATCACTCGCCTTTGGAGATTTCCCCACCCCTCCCCTGTCTTTCACAACCCCAGAGACTGGGCAGGGCCCGCATGCACACTGCTTCTCCATGGCTGCATCCAGCTGGCACTCAGACCCAGTCAGGGGCCCGTCCAGTCCCTGCACTGCTCCCTGAGGCATTGCACAATTGGATGCTCTGTGCCAGCTGTGGAGAACCGTTCGGTACTCTCCAACCCAGAGACTAGGCCCATCCAGTCCTTCACGAGTGCAGACACCCACATACCAGGAGAGGGGCCAGGCCTTGCCCAGCCCTCTGCCTCCCCACAGCCTCCCTCCTTCCTGCTGCTCTCCATCCCTGAATGCCCCAGCTTGGACTTGACAGAAGGTTCTAATGAACCCAGATGAGCTGGGAGGGGTGGGGCTTTCTCGGAAGCGTGAGGAAGAAAGGCCTCTCATTCTTTACAGCTGCAGGGACTTGGAGGGTTTGGGGCAGCAAAGATTTGGGGTCCTGCCACTCTCTGTATCCGTGGCCCAAGGCAGCCACTGTCTGTCCTAGGCTGACAGCCATTGGTCCCAAACATCAGTTTAGAGGTCTCTTTCTTCAGGAAGCCTTCTTGATTCTCTCCCCAGCATGGGGTGAAAGACCCTTCATTTGAACCTTGCCATCGCAGCAGAGAAAGAGCACAGCCACAGTCCTGAGAAGGTGCCAGATGCCTCCCTGGATGGTCTCCCAGCCCAGCGCATCCCTCTGTCCCCCCCGCTTAAGCGGGGACTAGTTCTCAAACTGGATTGTGAGGCGGAAGCAGCCCTGTACCCCTTTCTCTCAAAGGCATCTCTTGAGCATTGGCTGATGCCCAGCTAGCATCATAGCAAGTGTCGTGGCAGAGGGTGAAGGGGACAGACTTGTGGCTCTAGGCTGTGGTTGCTGGTCTCAGGGAGCGGATCCCCCAGTTCTTTCGCCCCGAGTTTTCCAGGGGCCCACTCCATTGTCTGGGGGAGGATGAGGTTGCTGGTCAGATTTGGCATGGTGGGGTGGGTAGGATCTCTGGCGCTGACAGCAGAACACCTCACTGTTGATCCTGGTGTTTCCACTCTGGAGCCTCTCAAGCCTTGTTTTCCCTTTCTGCACAGCAGGGGTGGTGATACTGAATATCTCATGCATGGGGCTGCTGGGAGAAGCAGTGCTGTGGCACATGGGAGGTGACCCGAAGGGTGCCCCCCTTCTGATCCCAGGGGACCCAGGAGCCCCAACTTGTGACTTCCACACCCAAGGCAGTCAGGCCTTTGGACTACAAAGTGTAGATTAGCAAATGGAACACCCCACCGAGAAAGCCACCCTTTCCAGTTTGTCTACCTTTTAGCAGTTGAAGCTCGGGAGGGCTGGGACAGGGTGTGAACCTCGTTGTTACCGTTGCCTGGGTTCCTAATGACAGGTGTGGGAGCTGGTGTTCACACCTGAGCTAATGATACAGTCAGGCGGGATGGTGCAGATCACTGAAGAGAGCATCCAGCCTGGCAGAGAGGCCCTGGAGGAGACACACTCCCACCCTCCTGGCTGTGCAACCTTGGAGGAGCTGCTTGGCCTCTCTGAGCCTGTTTTCTCACCTGTGGGATGGGAATAAGCACGGTGCCTGCCTGGCGATGCTGGCTGAGGATTAGATGGGCACAGTGGCTCATGCCTCTAATCCCAGCACTTTGGGAGACCGAGGTGGGCAGATCACCTGAGGTTGGGAATTCAAGGCCAGCCTGATCAACATGGAGAAACCCCCTCTCTTCTAAAAATACAAAATTAGTTAGGTGTGCTGATGCATGCCTGTAGTCCCTGCTGCTAGGGAGGCTGAGGCAGGAGAATCACTGGAACCCAGGAGGCAGAGGTTACAGTGAGCGAAGATCACACCATTGCACTCCAGCCTGGGCAACAAGACCAAAACTTAGTCTCAAAAAAAAAAAAGAAAAAGAATGCAGGGGAAAGATGGAGAACAATAAGAAGTCTCAGGTAATGGCAGTGTGATGATTATAGTTATTAAGCACATGTGGGCAAGGTAGCTGTGTTGTACCCAGGGTTCAACTTGATATCATGGGGGACAGGCTGTGCACTGCACAACTCCATAGCACTGTTCCTGGGGTTAGCAGGTGGACATGGAGGAGATGTTGGCACTCGAGTTGTTGGCAGTCACATCGGAGAGATAAGATGGAGTTAAGTTTCAGTGCACATGTGATTACATGAGCCTCAGGATGATTGGGCCAGGCAGGAGAAATGGAGCATAGAGGAGGACGGATGAGGTCTCCAGCCTGGCCACCCACATACTTTGTGACTGGCCATAAGTGAGAGCTGTCATAGTCTGAGCCCAGATGCTGGGAGGTGAGGGAGGAACTCCCAGAGGAGGCGTCTGACCTGGCATGGGGTAAGTGGAGTAGCCAAGACCCAGCTCTGCAGTCAGCCTGAATTCTGCCTGTTTGAAAAGAAACAGCCTCCCTGAGCCTCAGCTTTTGAATCTGTAGAATGGGATTAATCTTGCCCCTCCCCCAAGACCTGTGTCCCAGTAAACACCCAGCAGCCTGGCCTCAGCTAGACAGGTCTTGAAACACTGGCCCAGCCCTGATGGAGGGGATTCTGCATGGGAGGCAGGACCCCAGGCTTTCGAGGGAGAGCTGGGGAAAGGGAAGCGTGCTCTACCGGGTGGCACCTGGAGTAGCCCGAGCCTCTTGGTGGTTAAGAACACAGTATTGGCCGGGGGTAGTGCCTCACACCTGTAGTCCCAACACTTTGGGAGACCAAGGCAGGTGGATCAGGAGATAAGGAATTCAAGATCAGCCTGACCAAGATGGTGAAACCCCATCTCTACTAAAAATACAAAAAAATTAGCTGGCTGTGGTGGCAGGTGCATGTAATCCCAGCTATTCAGGAGGCTTCGGCAGGGAGTTGCTTGAACCTGGAAAGCAGAGGTTGCCGTGAGCCGAGATTGTGCCACTGATCTACAGCCTGGGCAACAGAGCAAGACTGTCTCAAAAAAGAAAAAGCAAGAACACAGCATTTGATGGTTTGATGCTAGCCAGGCATGAGTTCAGGCCCCAGCTTTGTGTCTCCTAAGCTGCTTGATCTTGGGCAAGTCATTTAACATCTCTGAGCCTCAGTTTCTTCATCTGTGACGTAGGGTGATAAGAGCAACCTCCAGCTGGTGAGGCTGCTGGGTGGATCAAATGAGAGTATGCACGTGATGGGTCCAGCCCATGACCCAGTTCAGAGCGAGTGCCTGGCAAATCATAGCAACTGATACCATGAACTGCACGCTGCTATTAAGAGTCACAACGTGTAATCCCAGCACTTTGGGAGGCTGCAGCAGGCAGATCACAAAGTCAGGAGATCGAGACCATTCTGGCCAGCATGGTGAAACCCCGTCTCTACTAAAAATAGAAAAATTAGCTGGGCGTGGTGGCGTGCACCTGTAGTCCCAGCTACTCGGGAGGCTGAGGCAGGAGAATTGCTTGAACCTGGGAGGCGGAGGTTGCAGTGAGCTGAGATCATGCCACTGCGCTCCAGCCTGGTGCCTGGTGACAAAGTGAAACTGTCTCAAAAAAAAAAAAAAAGTCACAACGGGC